TACCTCCCCACCCCGTTTCCCGCTGGTCACCACCACGCTGTTGTCTGTGACAAGGATCTCAAGGGGGTGTGGATGGTGCGGGCCTGGAGATGGGGTGCGGTGGGGGGAACGGACAGCTGTTGAGAACCCGCTGTGAGTGGACACTCACACTGTGTAGGTGACCTCAGGCTCACGTTACGAGGAGGCAGCAAGCTGAGAGAGGGAGCTGCCCGGACCGTGGGCACAGCCTCTCCTGGTGCCTCCTGCCTCCTCTCCGGGTGCTGGTCTCTGCCCAGAGCACAGAAGGACAGGACCCTCAGAGGGGCCAGGCCAGAGCCGGGAGGACCTGGTGACAGGAGACCGTGCTGGCTTTGCTGTGGTGTGGCTGTGGATGTACAGGGTCCGGGAGTTCCCTTGTTACATCGCTGTTCAGCTCAGTTCCTAACAGACACAGGGCTGGGAAATTTGCTCCCAAGTGTTGTAAGTTCTTCAGCCCAAAGGCAGAGTCTTCGTTCAGACGGAGAGGGAGCTGCGTGGGAGCCGGGATTCCTGGCTCCAGCCTGTCCCTGCTCCGACCAGCTGGGGGACCGGAGCGAGCCTTCTCCGGCGCTTGCGTGCTTGCCGGCAGAACGGGCCGTGGGCAAGGCGACCTCTGTGGTCCCAGCTCTGAAGTCGTCCGGAGAAAAGGCCTCTGCGTTTTCTGAGCACCAGCCACATACATCACATACATGCTGATATGTTTTGTTACGCAGGGGTGGGTACAAGCAGGCTTACAGTTGCAATGCAAATAAGTAACAACCGTTAATAAATAACAGTACAAGGATAAGCTCTGTGTTGTGTGCTCACGACTGTAAACCTCCTTCTGCCCACCCTGTATTTACATGGTAGCTTCATGGACTGAAACCAGGGAAGCAGAGGTACGTAGTCTCCTAGCTTACACGTGAGGCATGTATTTGGAGAAAGGTGGCGGAGAATGAGGACACTGGAGCTGAGACCCTTGGGGTCCAATCTTCTGAATCCACAGATGAGGCTTCTCAGAAAGAGGGAGGATCTTGTTTCAGGTCAAACAAGGGCAGCTGCAGGGGACCCCTCCCCCCAGAGGCCTGCTGGAACTCAGCAAAGACGGGGGGAGAAATCCCAGGTACTCACAGGCGGAGCTGGTGGATCAAGAATGTGGGAGCAGCCCTGGCCGGTTTGGCTCCGTGGTTAGAGCGTCGGCCTGAGTTCGGTTCCCGCTAAGGGCACGTACCTCGGTTGCAGTTTGTCCCCCGCCCCGGTTGGGGTCGTGCGGGTGGCAGCCACTCGATGTGTCTCTCTCACATCGATGTTTCTCTCTCTCTCTTCCCCCCTCTCTTCCTCCTGCTCTATCTGAAGATAAATGCAAAAATGTCCTTGGGTGAGGATAAAAAAAGAAAGAAAGAAAGTGGGGACAGATTTTGTTGGGGTTTGCGTAGCACCAGGACCAACTGGAGTGTGGTGAGAAAGCACCACAGGTTCGGTGTGGAAGGGAGAGGGAGGAACAAGGGGAGAGGGAGGAACAAGGGGAGAGGGGGGAACAAGGGGAGAGGGAGGAACAAGGGGAGAGGGAGGAACAAGGGGAGAGGGAGGAACAAGGGGAGAGGGAGGAACAAGGGGAGAGGGAGGAACAAGGGGAGAGGGAGGAACCAGGGAGAAGGCCTACAGTCCATCTGGAGCCGCAGATATTCACAGGGGGTCCCACCTGCAGGGAGAACGGTCCGAAGGAGAGGCGTAGCAGTTTACGTGGATTTGGGGCGCCCAGGTCCAGTTTGCTGGAACCCAAGGCTTCTGTTGTGTAGGCAACTCGATTCACCGGTGGTTTGGGGAAAGTCACCTGTGTTTAGAGTTTTGCTCTGGGCTGGGCCGCTCCCAGGGTCGGCCAGGGAGAGGTGCCAGGCCTTGTCACCGTCCCTTCCAGTCCCTCTTTTCCACTCTTGGGAAATGCCCCGAGAAAGCGTCTTCACCGCTGCCTCCTGCTGTCAGGCGAGTGAGACAGCAGGTGCGCCGGCCCCGCAAGGGCGGAGCAGGGGGCCAGGCTGTCCCCGCGGGAGGAACGGCAGGCAGTCGGGAAAGTCCCGATGAAACACTGCGGCCCAACGCGCAGGGACCGGCTTCTCACGCTAAGAGCAGTTCAGTGGTGGAACTGAACAGGACCGAGAGAAAATAAAATCAAAGGAGACAAGTCCCTGAAGGCCCCAGAGAGGACAGCTCTTTAAGGGGTTACATCTGACGAGGAAAGTTCCTGTAGAGAGCGGCGCCTTGCCAGGCGCTGTTTCCAGGAGTCAGCGGGGCCGGGGCGCCGGCTGATGGGGGCCCAGGGCACAGCCAGGGGCGGCCTCTCTGCAGGCGCGGTGGCTGGCCCTGGGCGGACGGCCACCACCGAGGTGTGGAGGGAACCACGGGGGCCCCCACCAGCCACGCCGTCCTCTGAGGAAGTGCCTCTTAGCTGTGCGGCTTTTCCCGGCTGTCCCTGTTCTCAGGACGTGCGCGCCGAGAGACTTGGCAACGGTGACGTGGCATCTCATCCCCAGGTGCTTTGCTCCGGAGAATAAAGAATATAGAAACAGGTGTGGCGTTTCAAGGATTGGTCAGTATGTGTATCAGTGAATCCTGACAAATATCGTGTTCAAAATGTGCACGATTTCAGCAACTTTATAGACAAGTTTAAACTGAAAGTTTTTTCCCCAGCCCTGGATGGTTTGGCTCAGTGGTTAGTCAGTCTGAGAACCAAAGGGTCATGGGTTCGGTCAAGGGCACATACCTCGGTTGCGGGTTCGATCCCTGGCCCCGGTTGGGGTCGTGCGGGAGGCAACCAATCGATATGGCTCTCTCTCTCTTTTTTTTTTTTTTTTTTATCCTCACCCGAGGACATTTTTTCCCATTTTTTGTTCAGGTAGAGTGGGAGGGAGAGAGAGGAACAGAGAGAGAGAGAGAGAAACATCGATGTCAAAGGGACACATCGAGTGGCTGCCACCCGCACAACCGACCAGGGCCGGGGACAAACTGCAACCGAGGTACATGCCCTTAGCGGGAACCGAACCGGAGTCTCTCAGGACCGCAGGCCGACGCTCTAACCGCTGAGCCAAACCGGCCAGGGCTCGATATGGCTCTCTCACATCAACGTTTCTCTTTCTCTCTCTCCCCCTCCCTCCCTCCCTCCCTTCCACTCTATTAAAACAAACAAACAAACAAACAAAAAACAATGGAAAAATATCCTCAGGTGAGGATTAACAATAACGAAACCGTTTCCCCCCCCCCGGAACTTGAAATGTACAATCTGATCGAAGCGATAAAATATTTGGCCACCGAGACGCTCAGAGCCCTCCCTGAGTTCCAACCATCCCCAATCAAGATGCTGTTGCGCGCCGACGTATTTCTCAAAGCCGTCGTTTATTCTGTACACCGTCCCACCGTGCATTCGATGTTCTACCCTTGCTTACACAGTAAACAAGCGCACACCAGCCCTTTGGCTCAGGCTCACAGGCCCTTCTCCTGGAGAAAGGGTGTCAGGCCAGTTCAACTCGGGGCGTCTTTCTTTGATGCCTCCTCCTGGGAGCACTGGGGGAGCCCCCAGCTCCGAGGGGCACCATCCAAGCCGGCTGTGTGGGTGCAGAGAGCTCCGTGCTCGGGGCTCCTTGCCTGGGCGCTGAGTAGCTTTACTCCCCGGGGCAGCGCAGGAGTTTGCCCAACTACTCAGGGCAAGATCATGCCCATAGGGAAGAATCCCGGGGCTGGAGCAAGATGCCTACAAGCACTCAAGCTCCAGCTCCCGGGGCAGGACTGAAGACTGATGCCAGGGCAGCTGAGGGGTGGCAATGGGCATCCCTGAGAAACTTGGTTCAGGAGGCTCTGGGCGGGTGGGGCGGAGGAGGAAGACCGGGGAGAAAAAGCATGTTCAGAGGGAATAAATTAAAGGGGAGAGGAGCTTGTGCTATCCTTCAAGTACCGGGGAGTAGACCAGGGGTGGGGCAGAGGAAGTGGGCGGGAAGAACTTGATACATTGTATCACAGGAAATATCCTTTGACCGCCTCTCTTCTTCACCTCGTGCAGTGCAAACAAGCCAGGGGCTGAGGGCATAGCCCTGTCTCTCCCGGGGGGATGGACGTGGCATGGGGAAAGAGAGGTGGCTGAGGGCCCTTTCAGGGAGGGACAGTTCCCCCTGGTCCCCAAATGCTATAAGGCACAATTCTTAGAGGCAACTAGATTCCTTCCAGAACATTAGAAACAAAACAACAAAACAAAAAAAACAAACCAAAAGTCTAAAAACAAAACAAAACGTGTGAGATCCCAGGTCTACTGTGGCTGTGCTTGGGGTCTCTCGACACCCACCTAGCACCCCGGGGGGCCAGCAGGAGAAACGTTGTATTTGAAGAGTTTTTTTTTTTTTAAAAAAACCCACAACAGAAAACCCCACACTGACCAGCGCATCTCAGCTGTGAAGAGAGCATCTCCAGTCTGAAAACTTTAGTGAGGGGGATTAACAAAAAAAAAATTGGGCTTTAAAAAACCAAAAACGTATTTTTGTTTCCAAAGATGTCCCCTGATCTGTCCACCTGGAGTTAGCAGCGTTAAGAGGGCTCTTGGCTCGTGGGTGTTTTTTGTTTTTGTTTTTTTTTGCTTCTGGACCAGGTGCCAGGCTCAGATGCAGCTTCCAGGCGGCGATTCTCCCAGCAGGCTCCAGGGGGCGCCGTCTTCTCGGGAGGAGCCGGCAGCAGGTGGACGAGAGTCTGTCTTCTCCCCACACACCGCAGTGATGCATCACACTCAGGAAAAAACCCAAAGCTTAAAAATGCAAACAAGAGAAGCCGAGGGGGCCACGGTGCCGGCGGCGGTCTCCGTGTCCTGTTGGTCTTCACTGCCAGGCGTGGCTCAGGAGCACCTTGCCCCGGCTCTGGACCCTGACCAGGCTGCGGACTCCTGCTCAGCAGCTTTACTTTACTTTTATTTTTCTCTTATTTGTCAGGTTTGTTCGTTTTTGTTTTTGTTTTTTAAAAAAAAAGAGCTGAGGGCGCGGGGCCACCGGTGGAAGGGAGAGAGGGAGGTAGCTGCTACATTCGGGAGGGTGGGCTGGCCAATTCGTAGAAGAGCAGGTAGGCGTCGCTGGTGCGCACTTGGCTGGACGAGGTGGGGAGGACGCTGCCGAGAGAGCAGGGAGCAGTCAGAGCCCTGGCGGGGCTGCGGGGCACAGCGGAGCGGCTGGGGGGTGAGGTCTCTCATCTCGCTAGTGTGCACCCCGGGCCAACCTCCCCCGCTGTCTCCTAGAAGCGCTTCCCGCGGGCGGCCGGTGTGGGACAGCTCCCGGCTCTGACCTTTCCTGTCCGGTCAAGGTCAAAGCCTCACGGAAGGGGAAGGTGCAGGCGCCCGACAGCCAGAAGCCTGCCTGAGACGCCGGACTCACCTGGAGTCATTGAACGTGTGCCACTCGCCGGTCACGGGACTCCGGCAGCAGGCTGTGTAGTGGCCGCCCATGGTGGTCCCGGAGTGATTGGACACGGCGTACAGGTTGTAAACAGCGTGGTCTGCGGAGGGGACACCAGGTTTGCAAGCCCCAGAGGCTCTCCCTCCCTCTCCTAGCTCCACTCCCACTTTTCTGTCTCTTTATTCATTTTATTTTTTTATTTTTTTTATCCTCACCCGAGGACATTTTTCCATTTTTTGTTCAGGTAGAGTGGGAGGGTGAGAGAGGAACAGAGAGAGAGAGAGAAACATCGATGTGAAAGGAACACATCGAGTGGCTGCCACCCGCACAACCGACCAGGGCCGGGGACAAACTGTAACCGAGGTACGTGCCCTTAGCGGGAACCGAACCCGGGCCTCTCTGGACCGCAGGCCAACGCTCTAACCGCTGAGCCAAACCGGCCAGGGCTCTTTATTCATTTTAGAGAGAGAGGAAGGGAGAGGAAGAGACAGATAGAAACATCGAGGAGAGAGAACATGGACTGGCCGCCTCCTGCACGCCCCCCACTGGGGATCGGGCCCACAACCTGGGCACATGCCCTGACCGGGAATTGAGCCGGGACCTCTCAGTGCAGGGTCCACGCTCAGCCACTGAGCCGCACCGGCCGGCTGGGCCTGGCCGCGTGTCTTAGACACTGGGGCCCTGTCCGCCCCTTCCTGTGAAAAGTACTTACTGGTGTTTTCCGCGGCGAATTCTCTCAAGTCCAGGTCTCGGAGGGGAAAATTCACGAACGTCGTGAGCTTGCTGGTTCGTATCCTGGACTCTGAGAACCGTTTCAGATCTGGTGTTGATGTGCGTCAAGGACAGACAGCGGCGACAGAGCCCCAGGGAGGGACACTGGGTCCCGGGAGGGCGGCAGCCCTCAGGGAACAGAAAGGCGAGCGAGAGAAGGACGGCCACCAGGTCTCCTTCCCCACCCTGTGGGCCTGCCGCACCCCCACCGCTGCTCCCTCAAGCCAGGCCTTTGCCCCGAGGGGCGGGCGTGAGGATACGGAGCACCAAGACCTTCGGGAACCTCTGGATGGAGAACTTCTTTATGCACCGTCTCCTGGCTCGGCAGCGGCAGCAGGTCTGAAAGACGACGCACAGAACTGGAGGGGGCCCTGCGCGTCCGGGGCTCCGGGCCGTGTCCTGCCCCGCGGCTGCCCCGGCGGTCGCTTGGAAACCGCCCTCCCAGAAGGATGACTTACCGGCTTCTCGTCACCGTCCAGCACGTCCTCTTTGGTGAAGAGCCGCATGCAGTCCATCAGAGTCACCTCGGGGTAGCCCCGCTGGGAGAGAAAAGGTCAAGGCCAGAGTCAGCCACATCCGAGGAGAATGGCGGGCGGGCGTCTCCGACGTGAGGCGACGGGGCGCGTACCTTAGCGATGGGCAGCGAGAGGTCCCAGAAGGGGTCAAAGACGGTGGAGCAGTAGCCGCAGTCCGTACACGTCAGGGAGCTCTTCAGCTGCCCGACGAAGAGATCTGGGCCGGAGGACACACAGGCTTAGACACCGGAGGACGACTCCCAGGGCCCCGCCTGCTGTCCCGGCACAGGTGCCCCGCAGGACGAGCAGGCGCCCCCTCCCGGCGCTTACCCCCGATCCGGCTGTCTTCCCGTTCGAGGTACTTCCTCCACATCTGTCGCCCTTTCTCGTCATCACTAGGGACCCGAGAGAGGAAGACAACGGGGTCAGAGTTCAAACCACGATATGTCGAGGGGCCTATCAGTCTTTTTTTTTTTTATTCCTCATCAGAGGATATTTTTCTACTTATTATCAGATAGAGCAGGAGGGAGGGAGAGAGAGAAACATCGACGCGATAAAGCTACATCGACTGGCTGCCTCCTGCACCACCCGACCAGGGCCGGGGACGAACTGCAACTGAGGTACGTGCCCTTGGCTGAAATGGAACCCAAGACTCTTTGGTCCACAGGCCGATGCTCTAACTGCTGAGAAACACCGGCCAGGGCTAGGGGGTCTATCAATCTAATCCTTAACATTCAAAGCTCAGTGGATGGAGCATCGTCCCAGGGACTGGGAGGTCTCGGTTCGATTCCTGGTCAGGGCACATGTCCGGGTTGCGGGCTCGATCCCCTGCAGGGGGTGTGCAGGAGGCAGCTGACTGATGTTTCTCTCTCACATCGATGTTTCTATCTCTCTCTCCCTTCCTCTCTCTCTAAAACACATGTATTATGATCTCACTTATTTGTGGAATATAATAAACATAACAGTCTGAGGGACAGGGTAGACCCAGAGACGTGGAAGTAGGGTACAGTTTGACAATCCCCAGAAGAGGGGGTGGGGGGAGAGAAGAGATAAACCACAGAACTTATACGCATGTACGCATGACCAATGGACACGGACAACAAAGCTGGGGACGGGGTGGGGGGGATGGGGAGGAGGGTGTCAATGGGGAAAAAAAGGAGAAACATCTGTAACAAAAATATATTACAAAACAAAACATGTATTAAAAAGATTCTCCTGAGAAATCATTGCCCCCGAAGAAGTCGGCGCAACGCTCAAGTTCATCAGGTGGCTCCTCGTACTCACGGAAGGTGGTCGAGGTTCTCAGGGCTGGACTTCGGCCTCCCCGACACCCGGTTGACCTCATTGTGGAGCCCGTCCAGGAGAAAGCGGAGAAACTCCTGGGCGTCCTGCTGACTGAACCCAGAGAAAGAGAGTGAGCGTCCCTCCTGCCCCCCAAGCTGCCGCGCCGCCCGCCGGGGAGGACGTGTCTGTGTCTGCCCGCCCCGGAGGACGTGTCCGTGTCCGCCCGCCCGGGGAAGACGTGTCCGTGTCCGCTGGCCCGCCCCGGAGGACGTGTCCGTGTCCGCCTGCCTGGGTAGGATGTGTCCGTGTCCGCCTGCCCCGGAGGACGTGTCCGTGTCCGCCCGCCTGGGGAGGACGTGTCCGTGTCCGCCCGCCCGGGGAGGACGTGTCCGTGTCCGCCCGCCCGGGGAGGACGTGTCTGTGTCTGCCCGCCCCGGAGGACGTGTCCGTGTCCGCCTGCCCGGGTAGGATGTGTCCGTGTCCGCCTGCCCCGGAGGACGTGTCTGTGTCCGCCTGCCCGGGAGGACGTGTCCGTGTCCGCCTGCCCGGGTAGGATGTGTCCGTGTCCGCCTGCCCCGGAGGACGTGTCTGTGTCCGCCTGCCTGGGTAGGATGTGTCCGTGTCCGCCTGCCCCGGAGGACGTGTCCGTGTCCGCCTGCCCAGGAGGACGTGTCCGTGTCGCTGGCCCGCCCGGGGAGGACGTGTCCGTGTCCGCCTGCCCGGGTAGGATGTGTCCGTGTCCGCCTGCCCCGGAGGACGTGTCTGTGTCCGCCTGCCTGGGTAGGATGTGTCCGTGTCCGCCTGCCCCGGAGGACGTGTCCGTGTCCGCCTGCCCAGGAGGACGTGTCCGTGTCCGCTGGCCCGCCCGGGGAGGACGTGTCCGTGTCCGCCGGCCCGGGGAGAACGTGCCCGCCCGCCTGGGGAGGACACGTCGCCAGGCCCTTACTTGTAGCCCACGAAGCGCGGGGCGTATCTCTGGATCTGGGTCTTGAACTCCGACGGGCTCACCACGTCGTTGAGAGAGGAAGTCCACAGGGTCTGGATCAGCTTTGCAAACTCTGCGAGGGGAGAGGGCAGAGCGTGGGGGGCGGTGAGACTCTTCCACAGGCGCCTCTGAGACCAGATCCCGACACAGGAGCCGAGGAAGGAGACGGGCAGGACTCAGCCGCCGGGACAGCGCCCACCGAGCAGCAGCGCCGAGGCCGCGGCTCACCTTCCATGAGGGTGGCGTGCGCACGGCTGCTGTGGCTGAGGTCCCGCGCGTACAGGCCTTGCAGGCAGTACTCTCTCAGCTCCCGGGTGTTGCTCAGACACTGCAGGATGGAGTTCATGAAGCACTGCGAGGGGGGGCCGAGCGTCAGAGGGCAGGCGACCCGTCGGGCACCTCTGCCCCGGGGCCCAAGGCCCCTGCACACCGCCCTCCCGCAACCCCAGTTCCCTTCCCGGTAAGGAGGGGGCGGAAGTGAGGCAAGTTCCCCCTGCCAGAGGCGCTGAGCTGGTGGTTCACAGGCAGGTGTAGGGAAGGGTGTGGGGGCCGGACACACATGGGTGGGGCTGACAGATGTCCACCAGGAGGAGGAGCCAGGGAAGCAGCCAGGTAACAGGTGAAAAGGCAGCTCCTCTCACCAGCCCCCCCTGCTGTGGGCGGGGAGACACCTGGAGGCAGGGGGGACTCTGGCCCCAGAAAGCAGCAGTCTGGGGAGAACTCACCGTGTTCCCAAGATTTCGAAGACCAGCCAGACCCTGGGCGCTCTTAGAATTCTGTAAGCAATGGACACAGGGCACGTGAGAGCCCAGGCACGGAGGCGGCCCGAGCTCGCGCCCTGCCAGCCGGAGCCTGGAGATCAGAACTAGAGACTAGGAATTCGCATATTTGGAAACATACCTCATTCCTGGCTACAAGAGATTTCAGGTCCCAAATCCAGACACTGTCTCAAATATCTGTACCCCTAGATTTTCAATGTAATTTTTTTTTTATTATTGATGTTAGAGAGAGAGGAAGGGAGAGGGAGAGAGAGAGCATCGATTGGCCGCCTCCTGCATGTCCCCCACTGGGGATTTGGCCCACAACCTGGGCATGTGCCCTGACTGGGAATCGAACTGGCAGCCTCTTGGTGCTGGGTCGATGCCCAACCACTGAGCCACACCGGCCGGGCGAGGTGTCCAACATATAAAGAAGTGGTCACGATGGGCACTTCAAGGAAGCCTTGGAAAGTTCAATGACCGAAGATCTTCAGCGAGTTTAGATCTTTGGCAGGGGTGAGGCGGGGGTGGGGTGGGAAGCAGGGGGGCCCGCCATTATGAATGGCCAGAGACACCTGGAATTCTTTTCAGGTGAGCTCAGCTCCTGAGAGCTGACTGAAGCCTGGCACAGCCCTCCCTGCCTGGCTCAGGTTTCAACAACCCACTGGCTGGGGACCCTGTGATGGCCGACGGTGGCCGGCAGAGGTAGGCAGCGGGCGGAAGCTGCCACTCTCGCTTGCGTCCTGCTGTGAAGGTTGGTGAGAGGGGAGGACTCTGAGCGTGGTTTGTCCGGGTCAATGGCTAGTTCTGGCCCCGCCTCCAAGGAATCAGAACACTTCAGGCTCAAAAGGTTCAAGAAGCCATCTGCAGATGAGCCTGCCACCCCCACGCTCAGAGAGGGGCACCGGACCGGCCGGTCTGGAGCAACCCTGCCTGGGGCAGAGTCAACCCCGATGAGAGTAGGAGCCTGGAATAACTCGGCTAAAATTACTCATGCCCTGCCCCGGCCTGGCGGCTCGGCTGGTTGGAGCGTCGTCCTGTACACCAATAGGCTGTGGGTTCGAGTCTCAGTCAGGGCACATGCCTCAGTTGCGGGTCTGGTCCCTAGTCAGGGCGCAAATGGGAGGCCTGATGTTTCTCTCTCACATGGGTGTGTTTTTTTCTTCTCTTTCTCTCTCCCTTCCTCTCTCTAAACATCTCCTCAGGTGAGAATCTAAAAATAAATAAATAAATAAAAATAAAGTAAAATGACTTATGCCCTGTGCTGACCGCCCAAAGCCCACAATGAGGCTGTCAACTCACGGGGGTGGGGAGGGGAGAGGCGGGCACCAGGAGGAGAGGAACTGCGTTGAGCCCACGAGTAAGAGGCCCCCTCCTCTCCACCCACCAGGTCTAACACTGGCAGGGAAGGAAATATGTCCAGGAGAGACACCTGGTTTCCACCGGAGAAAAGCCCACCGGCAGCAGGTGGGGGCCAGCTTCCCGCAGGGCGCTGTACCCCCGGACACAGCATCCGACCCTTACGTTTCTGACGGTCTGCCACTCTGAGGCTCCGGAAGGAGGCCACCGCAGAAGGAATTCCCCAGACAGAGGCCTATCAGCATTTTCAGGAAGACCTGGGGGAGGACGCCCTGGGGCCCACAGAAACACAGCAGGAGTCTGTGCTGCACCTTGGAGCTGAAGGCTAAGGCCGGCCCGCAGCCATGCCACGGTGCTTTGGTAGTTCTCACCCCTGTGCCTCAGACAACACCTGTCTAACAGGCTCAAGAAGCAAAGCATTTCCATCTCCGGTGACCAGGCACTGTCCACCCACGCGGCCCTCCTCTGAGAAATGAGCCCCTCCGCAGCAGTGAAGGCCGGGCGGTAGGGAATTGGAGGTGTCTTTCTGCTGATACATTCCACGTGCTGACACTTGAACTCTGACCCAGCACAGTGAGGGCCATGCAGAACCTGTCACCACCCAGTCACTATTCTTGAGGATCTAACCTTACTGGTGGGTGGGAGAAGTTCCTTTAAGGCATTGCTGGCACGCTTAGTTTTTCTGGTGTGTGTGTGTGTGTGTGCGTGTGTGTGCGTGGAGGGAGTCTTGCTTTTCTCTAAAGTGTCCTGGTATAAACCACCAACTTCTCAGCGCTCTGGGTAGAGGTGGCTGAATAAGAGGAGCCGGTGGGAGCGGAGGGGAGGGCAGGCTGTGTGCCGGCCAGATGTTCTCTGCCGTGAATAGGCCATCGGGAGCTCCAGGGAAAGTCTGCACTTTCCCTTCCAGAGAGGAACACAATGTCCCAGGAGTGACCTTTCTCCCGGGGAAAACAGTCCTACCTCGGGCCTGACAGGGAGCAGCCCGAGCCGAGCCGGAGGGGCTGGGAGGCCGGCATAGTCGGCCTCTCCCCAGGAGGGGACGCCGTCCCAGCGGGGATGCCGGAGCTCCCTGCAGAGAAGGTCTGGGTCCCGGGCTTCCTCCGTGCTAGCCATCAGCACACCTAATCGTGACGAGTAGCAACCACTGTTCCAGAAAGTGGACGCCACCTTCACGGTCAGTACACAGACCTCACAGACCTAATCCGCCTCCCCTCTGGGTTAACAGGGGAGCGACCTGGGTACATGGCCCTATGAGAAAGGCTGGCTGAGACCCCTTTTCACACTCAAGACCCCAGTAAGGGGCTTTCCTGCTTACTTCTCCTGTCCCGGGAGGGTCAGCCATGAGTCCCGGCTGCAGCCAAGGAGCCCGGTGCAGCCCTGGCCAGAGCGCGCCAACCCCCCACGCGGGAGCTTCTGCCTGTTACATAAGATCTGTCAAGCCCCGTCGTCTTCCTTCCCAGAGTGGGCAGTGCCCAGCCTTGAAGCCCAGCATTGCTCTAGGGTGGCTACTTCATTTGAGGGAGCCAGTGCCCACTGAGCAGAACGGGGGAGGGCTGGAAAGAAAAGGGAAGCTGCCCCTTGTGGCCTGCACCGCCTCTGCCCTTCACAGGGTCAAAGGATCCCCGTCACCAGCCCTTCGGGAGGACGCCGGTCGGACCACGGGGTGGGGAAGGCGGCCCCTTTCTGACCGGCCTTTCTCGCTGGGGTCGGGCCTGAGAGGAGTCACGGAGGAGTCAGGCCCGTGGGGTGCAGCGTGCTGCCTGCCCCCTCACACGCGAAAACCGGTCAAGGTTACGCTTTCTGCACCTGCCCTGGGAGGTGCCAGGGGCGGAGGGCGCACGGGCTACCTGGAGCCGGGTTCCAGGGGGACGAGATGGGCACGGGGGTCTCAGGCCCGGGCCTCAGGGAGGGGAGGGGCTGCGAGGGAGCTGAGATCACCTGGGGTGGGGGCATTCCCAGCCCGGAGACCCTGGGAGAGGAGGGGTGGGGGCTGGGAAGAGTCCGTCGCCGGCCCAGGGCGCGCGGGGGAGAGGCGGGCGTCCCCGGGGGTACGCGGAAATCAGGCCCTCCGCGTGGGGTCCCGGGCAGCAGCCCCGCGTACCTTGGCTTTGTTGAGCAGGAGGCCCACGAAGGTGGAGAGCAGCAAGGAGGGGGACAGCGGGGAGCGCGGCCGCAGCTCCTTGGCGAGGGCGGGAAAGGGGGCGGCAGGGGGCTCCTCGGGCAGGGTCACGGTGTACGAGGTGCGCATGCTGGGCGGGCGGCGGGCTGCGCCCCACACCTAACGTAGCTCCAGGGGCGCGGGGTACCGCGCGGGCCCACAGCCCGGACGCCGAGCCAGCGGGGCCGCCGCACAGCCCGTCCGCCGCGCCCGTCGGTAACCGCTCCGGCGGGCCGACCGCGCGCTCCTCGCCCCAACCTCCGGGCGCGCGCCTGCCAACCGCCCTGGCACCCGGCTCTCGTGCCCGGACGTCAGCGCCGGGCGGAGCCGGCCCCGCCCCCGTCCCCCGCGCCCGGCCCGCCCGCCGCTGAGACCGCCACCCGGGAGCCCCGGGGCTTGGAGCGCAGGCAAAGTGTCTGAGGCCCGCAGGGGACACGTCCCCAAGAGCCGGGCGAGCTCCCCCCAGGCAGCCCACAAGTCCTGGATGTGGGGGCCGCGGGGCATTCTGAGAACCACGCACGCTCGCGTGCAGACTGAGCGGCACGCGGGGGGCACCCACTGGAGCCGAGCACCCACACCGTCAGGGCCTGGGAGCCCCGGTTCGGGAGAGAGTCCCAAGGCTTCCGGACGGGGTGCCCCTCCCCCTCCAGTCCTGGTTTGGCCCATGACGAAGAGAGGCAAGGCTCCTATTTTATAAGGTCCAATAGGTCACTGTCCCCTTTGACCCCAGGTGAGAACCCTTTCTGACCCCTTCTACCCAGTTACTCAACTCCACCTCTCCCAGAACCTCAAATTCTGCTTTGCTTTTTTGGAGGTGGGTATACAGCGAAAACGCTGGTGCTCGGCTGGAGGGGGTGGGCGCCCCTCCGACCGTGAGGGTGGCAGTCCTTGATCCGAGTCTGCGTCTTACTCGGTGTCCCACCCCTCCCCCACGACCGGGCCCGGCCCGGAATCTGTTTGGAGAAAGTATCTTGCCTGGGAGCGTGCTATTTTTAGCCGGTATTTTTAGAGTTTAAAAATACCCCGGAGAGGCGCGGGGTGTGCTGTTACGCATCCGTGGTCTCCTTCTGCTCCTCTGAGCCTGCTCGTCTCCACATGTACCTACACTCTGCACACACGACTACATGCTCCGACACAGGCATGGCTGTACCCTAGGCCGCCCACACAACAGCCAATTCCTGCTAAGAGGGGCGCTCAGAGGCCCGCCCCCATGCGTCTGGGTGGTGGTGGGAGGAGGGGCAGGAGGCAGGAGCCGCAGGGCCTTCCACATGGGGATAGAAGAGGGTGCTCCTCTAGGCAGGGGTGAGCTCCACAGCCACTGTCCTCACCCAGCGGCCCAACCTGGGCCCTGGACAAAAACAGCAGCGTGGTTCTGCATGCATCCTTCTCCCTGCACCGTCCTCCGCAGGGCTTACATCTGACCACACACTTCTGCCTGCCCCGTGCATCTGGTCCAGCAGCCTTAGGGAGTCCTGTCCCTGCGGCTGTCTGTCCACAGGCT